AAGAGATAGAAGATGTATCAAAAACTGCCAACAAAAAAAAAGCCCAGGACCAGATGGCTACACTGGAGAATTTACCAAACATTCAGAGAAGAGTTGACACCAGTCCTACTCAATCTCTTCAAAAAGACAGAAGAGGAACACTACTGAACTCTTTATATGAAGCCAGCAAAACCATGATACCTAAACCAGGAAAACATATAACAAAAAAAGAATTACAGACCAATATCCTTTATGAACATAGATGTAAAAATTTTCAACAAAATTCTAGCCAACAGACTTCAGCAGCATGTAAAAAAAATCATACACCACAATCAAGTGGGATTCATACCAGGATTGCAAGGATGGTTCAACATTAGAAAATCAATCAGTATAATCCACCACATAAATAAAACAAAGGAAAAGAATCATATGATCATATCAATTGATGCAGAAAAGGCATTTGATAAAATTCAACACCCTTTCTTGATAAAAATTCTCAGCAAAATAGGAATAGAAGGGAAATTTCTCAACATAATTAAGGGCATATATGCAAAACCAACACCCAACGTTATACTCAATGGAGAATGGCTGAGAGCCTTTCCCTTTGAGAATGGGAATGAGACAAGGATGCTCATCATCACCACTGTTATTCAACATTGTACTGGAAGGCCTAGCCTGAGCAATAAGGCAAGAAAAAAGAAATAAAAGGTATCCAAATCAGAAAGGAAGATGTAAAACTAGCTCTATTTGCAGATGACATGATCCTATACAGAGAAGACCCTAATCATTCCACAAGAAAACTGCTGGAACTAATAGAAGAATTTAGCAACGTTGTAGGGTACAAAACCAACACACAAAAATGAATTGGATTCCTTTACACTAACAAAGATTACTCTGAAAAAGAAATCAAAAAGACAATACCATTTACAATAGCCCCCAAATCGACAAAATACCTAGGAATTAACCTAACCTGGGACTTAAAAGACTTATACAACGAACATTATAAAACCCTACTACAGGAGACTAAAAGAGACCTACAAAAATGGAAAGACATCCCATGCTCATGGATTAGAAGGCTTAATATAGTGAAAATGTCAGTTCTACCTAAAGCCGTCTACAGAGTTAATGCAATCCCAATACAAATCCCAACAACATTCTTTACTGAAATAGAAAAACTATTGACCAACTTCATATGGAAAGAAACCTCAAATAGCCAAAGTAATATTGAAGAAAAAGAACCAAGTAAGAGGTGTCACACTCCCTGATATCAAAACATACTATACAGCCACTATAGTCAAAACAGCCTGGTATTTGTTCAATGATAGACACGCATAGACCAGTGGAAAAGAATTAAGGACTCAGAATTAAACTCAGCCATCTGTGGGCAACCGATTTTTGACAAGCGGTCAAAGTCCATTCAATGAGGCAAAAACGGTCTCTTTAATAAATGGTGCTGGCAAAACTGGATATCCACCTGCAGAAAAATCAAACAAGACCCATACCTCACATCATATACAAAAACTAATTCAAAATGGATCAAAGCCCTAAATGTTAAATTTAAAACCATAAAATCCCTGGAAGACAATATAGGAAGAAAACTATGGGACCTAATCTTCTGTAAAAATAGGATAACAAACATTACAACAAATGCAAGAATTGAAAAAGACAAAATAGGTAAATGGGACTTCATAAAAATTAAAAACTTACGCTCATCAAAAGAATTTAATAAAACAGTAAATAGACAACCTACAGACTGGGAAAAAAATCTTCAGAAACAATTTATCTGATAAGGGTCTAATCTCTAATATCTTTAGAAAACTGCAACAATCTCTAATATCTTTAGAAAACTGCAACAACTCAACAACAAAAAGACAGCCTGATCACAAAATGGGCAAAGGACGTGAACAGAACCTTCTCCTGAAAGAGGACATCCAAACAGCCAACAAACATATGAAAAGATGTTCATGGTCATTAGCCATTAGAGATGCGAATCAAAACTACGATGAGATACCATCTTACTCTGGCTAAAATGGCACTGATAAAAACAAAACAAAACAGATAACAACAAATGTTGGTGGGGATGTGGGGAGAATGGAACCCTTATCCATTGCTAGTGGGGCTGTAAACTGGTACAACTGTTACGGAAAATGGTACGGTACTTTCTCAATAAACTGGAAATAGGACTACCCTATGATCCAGCAATCCCACTCCTGGGTATAGACCCTAAACACCAAAACCAAACCCATGGATGTTGAGCCAATTCCAACTCATAATGACTCTATAGCACAGAGTAGAACTGCCCCATAGAGTTGCCAAGGCTGTAATTTTAATACTTAACCATTGTACCACCAGGGCTCCTTGTATATACCCTAGAGACCTAAAAATAATGATACAGACAGATATATGCCCACCTGTGTTCATTGCTCCTGTATTCACAATTGCAAATAAATGGAAACAATCAAAGTGTCCGTCAACAGATGAATGGATATGCAAACTGAGGTACATACATACAATGGAATTCTATGCAACTGTAAAGAACAATGATGAGTTAGTGAAACATAACATGGATGGACCTGGAGTGCATCATGCTAAGTGAAATGAGTCAATATGTAAGGACAAATATTGTATGATCCCACTTTTATAAGAAGACAAGAATAGATAAATACAGAGAGACCAATGTTCAGTAATGGTTACTAGAGAGAGTGGGATGGAGAATTTATGCTTTAAATACTAGAGACTATTTTTGGTGATGGAAAAAGTGGCACTGATTGTGGATGTAATGGACAAAGCACAACCAAAGTAAAAGCAAGCATTTGAGCATATATGGATGAGTATAGGCAAAGTGGTATACAGATAGGTAGTACAGATGCATACATAGGTGAGAACTGATAGAAGTAAATAAATGGGTGCAGGCACATATATTCCTTTAAGACACAAATATGGATACTCCTTAGACATAACAAACACCTTCCATCATTGTTTTCTGGGTTTGAAGGTTTAGGACCATAGTTTTATGGGACATCTCAGTCGGCATAACATAGTTCACAAAATCATGATCTGCATCCTAGTGAGTAGCATCTGGAGTCTTAAAAGTGTGAGCAGCCATCTAAGACACAACTACGGGTCTCAGCTCACCAGGAGCAAAACAATAAGAAGGTAACCAAAAGCACAGAGAAGAAATAAGTCTGCAAGAGTCACAACCCACATCTACTCTGAGAACAGAAGAACTAGATGGTACCCGGCCACCACCACTGACTGTTCTGATCGAGGCCACAATAGTTGGTTCTGGATAGAATGGGAGAGAAATATGGAGCAGAACTCAAATTCTTATTAAGAAGGAAAACAAAACAGACAAACTGGAACGGTAGAGAACAGAGGACCCCCTGAGACTATCGCCCTGAGACACTCTTTAAACCTAGAACCAAGCATCTCACCTAAGATCACCTTTTAATGAAAAAGCAGAGTGGCACACAAAATAAAGGATATTACCCATATGATCAGTGCCCTACTTAAAAACCATCAGTATAAGACCAAAAGGTCAACAATTTCTTAAAAGCAAAGATGGTAAGGGAGTAGGGAAACTAGAGTACTGGAAAGGGAACAAACAGAACACAAAGAGAATATTGACACATTGTGATAAATGTAACTAATGTCACTGAACAATTTGTGTAGAAATTGTCAAATAGAAACCTAACTTGCTGTGAAAACTTTCACCAAAGTCAATTAAATATTATTTAAATATATATACAATGAAAAAAAAAGGGATGTATAACTAGAATTCCAAAGTTTAAAATGCATATTATTTAAGTATTAAGATAACGTGTTCCATTATCTGCATCTTAACCTAATGCTTCAATAATTGAAATAAATAAAATAATTGAAGATATAGAGGACTAAACCCTGCCTCAGTAGGAGTACACATTTGCTGAGCTCTAGAACTCTAGAGAAAAAACAAACATAGTCCTTCCCCCTAGAAAAATAAAAACCAAACATTAGAGTTGTGCTATCCAATATGGCAGCCACTAGGCAAATGTGGCTACACCCACTCCTCAGTTATCGACATGGTCAGTTAGGTTCCAAAGACCAGGTCATTAGGTGAAAATCGGCATTATGTGGAAATGGAGGATGGCCACATCAGATCACAAAATATTATATGGGACACATATGTCCCTCTGGACTCTGGGGATAGGATTGGTGACACATCAGGTTCGCTACACCTCACGCTGGCACCTCAAAATGAAGGATTCCCGTGAACATGAAATCATTGCAAGAAATGTAACTTCTAAAGAACACAGGAACCCGGAAATATGCTTACAAGGCTTCTCTCCCTGTACAAATGCGAAAAGAGACAAAGGTTTTGCACAATCTCACCTCCAGGATGTACCATGTCATACAATACCCTGTAAAAACAGTCGTTAGCGGCACATGCCCATTTCTTCCATTTCCAACAGTTATACAGGCCCCTGCCTGCTAGCAACACGTACTGTCAGTGGGCCAGTAGCTTCGCAATAAACCAGAGACATGGAAAATGTAGGCGGGCACTCTGTGTCCCACTGGTCATGAAAGGGTTACTGCCAGATGTATGTCATTAATGCTCAAAATAGATTTTCTACTATTGTCGTTAGTGCAAAATGTTGGATAACGAGATAGTCGATAAGTGAGGAGTAGGTGCATTTACATTTAAAGTAGTTAAAATTAAATAGAATTTAAAATTCAGTTCATATAGTCGTGTTTCAAAAATTCAATAGGCAGAGGTGGCTAGTGTCTTCTATATCGGGCAGGTCAGATTATAGAACATTTCTATCATTGCGGAAAGTTGTCTGGCAGCGCTACCTTGCTGTCCTAAGTATTGTTCACGTATTATTAAAAAACACATTGAGAGGCAATCAAGCACCCAGTGTAGGTTGAACCATATCCCACTGCAGGACGTGATTTTGTTTATATGACTTTGTTCACAGCTGACGCATTGAATATTTGTCAGATTAGTGAATAAATGAAAGTATTTTCTTTCCTTTATGCAGATCAACCACTCTGATAGTAAGAAGAACAGATATTCTGGCTGGCCTGCAGAGATACAGATAGAAGGCTGTATTCCACGAGAACCAAGCTAACATTGCACTTCATTAATAAATGCGTTTTGTGTAAATGTCACACGGGATGGCCCATGAATCTTATCACTTTAAGTCCTACGGTCAATATTTTAGAAGGACTTTGGGCTTTTCTTAAACCAACAAATAGTTGCTAATTATATAATCTTAGCACAAAGTTTATATGCCAGTATTTATATAGTGGAGGAGGCACGGGTGGTTCAGTGGTAGAACTCTCGCCTTCTATGCAGGAGCCCTGCGTTCCATTTCCTGCCAGTGCACCTCATGCACAGCCACCACCCATCTGTCAGTGGAGACTTGTGTGTTGTTGAGAGGCTGAACAGGTTCCAGAGGAGCTTCCAGATAAGACAAACCAGGAAGAGAGGCTTGCAAACCTCCTTGTGAAAATCAGCCAGTGAAAACGCTCTGCATCACAATGGTCAGGTCCACAGCCCATCCCTGGGATGACACAGGACCAGACAGAATTTCATTCCATCGTGCATGGGGTTGCCATTAGTGGGGGGTCAACTCAACAGCAGCTAACAACAGTTTGTGTAGTGAAGAGGTCGATGTGCTACATTCTGAAAGGAACAGGACTTGTTAGAGGGAATGAAGTGATTCAATCTAGAAAGGAAGAGAGCTGGCGGAAGCAACTGGTGCTTGCTCAAGGTGGAGTCGTGATCAGATATAAGTCCACGCAGCTCTGCAGGGGGATAACCTTTGTTTATTGCAAGCACACCCTAGTTTCTGACAGTCATCTCAGAGAATGAGCAAGAGTAGAGAGGGCTTAGCAGGAACTCCTTGGCTGACAGTCGTGGCCATTGGGGGTCCACCCTGAGGATGGTGACTGTTCATCTCAGACTTTCCAGGAGATGCATCATTAGATCAGCTATTCAAGATACCCCACCTCCATACAACCATGTGTCAGAGGGTGTGTTTGATTGGGGGCTGAGAAAATAAGGTCACTGGGGCACAAGATAGCTTCCAAGCATCAGCCATTCTAACTTCCTTCCCAAGCCTCGCTGCCCAGGAGGTCATCTTACCTTAGAAGAGCTCTGAGACTGTAATGTCAGGTTAATACTGCCTCCCTGAGTCTCCAGTTTCTCTTCTGTAAAATGGAGGGGTTGGAATAGCTGAATGATTTCCAAACATTCTTATCAGTCAAACCAAAACCAAACCCATTGCCATCGAGTCGATTCTGACTCATAGCTATCCTATAGGACAGAGTAGAACTGCCCCATAGGGATTCCGAGGAGCGGCTGGGTGGATTCAAACGGCTGACCTTTTGGTTAACAGCCAAGCTCTTACCCACTGTGCCAACAGAGCTCCTTTTAAAACATGGTAGAACATGGCAGCCTGAATTTCAGTACCCCTGCAGCAACAAGCAGCTCCAATCTCAGCGGTGTACAACAGCATTGATTTTTGTGGATGTTACTTATGTTGCAAAAATCCTCACAACTGGCCAGTAAGCAACATCGTGATAAATGGAGAAAAGATTGAAGTTGTCAAGGATTTCATTTTACTTGGATCCACGATCATTGCCCGTGGAAACAGCAGTCAAGAAATCAAATGATACATTGCATTAGGAAATCTGCTGCAAAAGACCTCTTTAATATGTGAAAAAGCAAAGATGTCACTTTGAGGACTAAGGTGCGCCTGACCCAAGCCATGGTATTTTCAATTGCCTCATATACACGTGAAAGCTAGAAAATGAATAGGGAAGACCAAAGAAGAATTGATGCCTTTGAATTATGGTGGTGGCAAAGAATATTGAATATACCACGGAGTGCCAGAAGAATGAACAAATCTGTCTTGGAAGAAGTACAGCCAGAACGATCCTTAGAAGTAAAGATGGTGAGACTTTGTCTCACATACTCGTCATCAGGAGGGATCAATCCCTGGAGAAGGACATCATGCTTGGTTAAGAAGAGGGTCAGTGAAAAAGAAGACCCTCAATAAGATGGATTGACACAGTGGCCGCAACAGTGGGCTCAAACATGGCAGACGTTGTGAGAATGGCGCAGGACTGGGCAGTGTTTGTTCTGTGGTACATGGGGCTGCTATGAGTCAGAACGGACTCGATGGCACCTAACAAAATACTTATGGGCCACAGGTCAGCTGTGGCTGAGCCCCAGATGGTGAGGCTAGGCTGAGGGAGCATCATCCCTTGTCAGATGGAAGCCAAATTGAGAGCAGAAATCCAGATGCATCCTAAAGCTTCTGCCTGGAAGTGGTGTCAATCCCACCTGCTACCCAACCCAGGTCAGCTCAGCTGCAAGGATGTCCACTCCTCCCTCAGAGGCTCAAAAAATCTGCAAGGCAGGAAGCAGGCATGATGGTCCTCCTACAGGGGAGTTGGGTAATATTTGTGAACAGTAACACCATGAACCATAAATGCCAGATACCCCTGAGCGCTGCCAGCCCATCGGAGCTCTGGCTCCCTGGCCCTCAGCGACCCCTCAGGGAGCCCTGGGTGTAGCAGAGTAGTCTGCAGACCACCAGATGGGGTCATGGCTCAGCCCTTCTCCAGTTCTAAACTCCTTGATGCCAGCCTCAAAGGGAGGGCTTTGTCATGGCAGGCTAGTTGACATTTCTGTGTATAAGAAAGGGTAGTTTTGTTTTTAATTTTTTTATTGTACTTTAGATGAAGGATTACAGAACATATAGTTTCTCTTTAAACAGTCAGTACACATATTGTTTTATGACATTGGTTAACAACCCCACGACATGTCAACATTCTCCCTTCTTGACCTTGGAGGACCTTTTTTTGGTGAAAATATACATAGCCAAAGTTACACCATTTCAAAAGTTTGTACATGTACAATTCAGTGACATCAATTATATTCTTCCAGTTGTGCTGCTATTCTCACTATCCTTTTCCAAATTATTCCATCACCATTATCTTCAACTCACTGCCCCCTAGGCTTCCCATCAAACCTTTTGAATTACTGTTGTCGATTTGATCTCACATAGATAATTCTTTTTTTTTTTTTGTACTTTAGATGAAGGTTTACAGAACAGAATAGTTTCTCATTAAACAGTTAGTACACATATTGCCCTATGACAATGGTTAACAACCCCATGACATGTCAACATTGTCCCTTCTCAACCTTGGG